TCGCCGACGTCAGCGACTCTTTGCTTACTAATATACACGATATCCGATTGCTTCCCAGTCCCATTTCTGCCGGATGCGCGACTACCGTACGCCGACCTTTCTCGTCCTCTCTCGTCCTCTCTCCCCATCTCTCCCCATCTCTCCCCATCGTACGCGCCGTGGAGTCGGCTGGTAACGCGAGCCATTTCTCGTCGCAATCGAGAATGATCGCCGCACGTACTTAGGTATATACTTGACGCGCTTCTGCCACCGACCGTTACGACGACCACGACGACTATAGTTATTATTATCGAGAAATGCCGGAAGCTGCGATAACGCCGTGTCCCTCTACATCCTTTGTCGCTCGTTGCTGCGTTTCCTGTATCCTTTCGTCTTCTCGTTTTCGTTGTTGTCGTCGTCGTCGTCGTCGTCGTCGTCGTCGTCGTCGTCGACTACGACTGGCGGTCGTAACTAAACACTGGCGATCGTTCGAAAAGTTTGCGGTTACGAATGCGTCTCTGGTTTTACGCGTGGCGTTCGTGCCGCTCGCGACCCCTTCCCCCGAGCTACCCCTACGGTCGTTGTAACGTATCGCTTATCCCGAGGCGAATATTTCGAAATTGTACGGTCTAATGCCGCGTGTCACGAGACACACGCAGAAGGAAAAGGTTGATTCCCTTTTGAAAATGTACGAATGCGCGCAGTGCACAACATCGAGGCGGAATACTTTACGGAGGGGCGCGAGTGCGTAAATTGCGGCGCAATTTCCACTCCGTTATGGCGACGAGACGGTACCGGGCATTACCTCTGCAACGCATGCGGTCTCTACCACAAGATGAACGGAATGAATCGACCCTTGGTGAAGCAGCCACGGCGATTGGTAAGGAAGAAAGGAAAGTAGTAAGCGTTCGCGCTCTCTCTCTCTCTCGACCGCGATATCTCGCGATTCCAGTTCCTCTTTGCCTGGTGTCGCGAGACACGCTCGAGAGCAGGAAGAAAAGCGGCGAGAGGGAGAGCGGCGAGCGGCGAGCGGGGTTTGGTGGATTTGCATTGAACAGGAGCCTGTGTGGAAATTCGCCCTCGTGACCCGTGGTTCTTTTTTTTTTTACCATTCGTGTGCTAACACGTTGGGGCGATTGAAGAGTTACATCGCGCGGGCGCGATTCGCGGACGATACGCGTAGATCCGGCGGTCGTTTTTGTCGGACGCGCGATGCGACGCGACGCGACGCGACGTGACGTCTCTAGTAAAGAGTAACGAAGCGTGCACGCACGCACGCGCATCATTCGAACCGCAACCCCTAACGTTTGGCATCCTGTCTCTGTTTCAGTGGCGGACCAGGGCGATTTCTACAAAGGCTTCTGTGGGTATAGTGGCGCCCGTCGCGCCTTCGAGGAGAAATCGAGCCGGCGTTTGGTAGGTGTCATCCCCCAACACGCACAAACACGCACCTACGCACGCACGCACGCACGCACGCATACACCTACACACGATCTCTCTTTCTCTTTCTCTCACTCTCTGTCGTTCGCTCATCCACCCAACCTCTCCTATCCTCCTTCCTTCGATCGACTGTCGCTATTTACATAGTCCGCGTTATTCTTCGAATCGGTTTCATCTTGGAGAACTTTAGCTCGATGTCGTTCGTCATTACGTTTATCCTTTCCTTCGCTTGCTTGTATTACTTGCTTGGACGACGTATTCCCCTCGAAGACTCGAATAGAGCTAACAACGTCTCTTTCCCAGCGTATACGTAGCGGCAACCTGTTATAGAAAATTTCTCGTAGTTTCGAGGTGCCACTATACCCATGGTACGATCGCGCTCCGTTCCGAAATCATGCGTAGCCTGGTGGTCGAAAG